CCAGTTCTATATCCATGCCTATTTTGTACACCCAGCCACATCTTTCTCATATCATATCTAACTTTATTTGCATTACTGAAACAGGAACTTAACGAAGGTCTGGCTTTCAGCTTATATTCGCCCTCACATGTGAGTCAACATTCCACACTTGATCTGCAACTAGGATCTTCCGTGATGACACGACTAGCTCCTCCTTCGAGGAGTACGCTTGTGGGCTTTGCTATGCTAGTGGAAGTTTCATTTTCGAAGGATTTCTATAATGCTACTGGTTTTGGTGTTAGTTGTGTTTGCAGCTGGAAAGATAAGGAAGGCCGCTCTCATAGGCTAGAGAGAACTTTTCCTTTCTGGGCTCCAGGAGATCCAATTTTGAAACTTCAAAAGGATCATCTGTTTGTCTTCTGTGATGTCAAAATGCGTCCAACTACCGGTGAAGGTAATGACACCGATATCTTGGCTGATTTAGTTGTATTTGAATTCTTTCCTGTCAGCAAGCAGAGGAAGCATCTAGATGATAGTTGCACAGTGACGAGATGTAAAGTCTATGTGATTGATACTGCAACTGGCAACACCAATCTTAAGTTGAGTTCACCATTTTCTTCCTCGAATGACGGTGAAGAAGTTATACGCAACAAGCAAACTTGTCAATCAGAAGGGTATGGATTTGTCGAGTTTGTTAATCGTTCAGCAGCCGAGGAAGTTCTTCAGAGCTCTAGCGGTGTAACAATGCCCAACGCAGACCAGCCTTTCCGTTTAAACTGGGCATCTTTCAGTACTGGTGAAAAGAGAGCATCGGAAAACGGTCCAGATCTATCGATATTTGTAGGAGATTTAGCTCCTGATGTGTCTGATACTTTATTGCTCGAGACTTTTGCTAGTAGATATCCATCTGTCAAGAGCGCGAAAGTTGTAATCGATTCCAACACTGGTCGTCCCAAAGGTTACGGTTTTGTTAGATTTGGCGATGAGAATGAGCGATCAAGGGCTATGACAGAGATGCATGGTGCGTTTTGTTCAAGCAGGCAAATGCGCGTCAGTATTGCAACCCCTAAAAGAGCTGCTACTTATGGCCAACAAAATGATTCACAAGCTCTGACACTGGCTGGTGGACATGGAGGAAATGGTTCTATGAGTAATAGTTCACTGTCTGATGGTCAATCAAATAATGCAACAATATTTGTTGGCGGACTTGATGCTGATGTTACTGAAGAAGATTTGATGCTACCTTTTTCCCAGTTTGGGGAGGTTGTTTCGGTGAAGATACCAGTAGGAAAAGGATGCGGGTTTGTCCAATATGGTAACAGGCAGAGTGCTGAAGTTGCCATCGAGATCTTGAACGGGACAGTCATCGGGAAAAACACTGTCCGGCTTTCTTGGGGTCGAATCCCAAACAAACAGCGGAGAGGTGACTCAGGCCACCAATGGAACGGAGGATACTCAAGAGGACATGGTTACATCAACAGATACGCTAATCAGGGACTCAAACATGTTTGCTAATGCAGCGGTGCTGTCCCGGGAACTTCTTGAAGGTCTTGGTATGTCTCTATCATAAAAAAAACCCTGCTAGTCTTAGACTTGCGGGTATTGGGTCGAAAAAACAAGCCATCGGATGATCAAAGTGATCCGATGACAGTTGTTGGTTCGGGGTTTAGCTCGCAACAACAAAAACTTAAAACCTCTTTAGTCCAAAGAGGGTTTTGTATCCTGGATTTGAATTTGCTTATCTGGCTGTCTCAGTCTGTCAAATTTTTTGGGGTTGTCTAAAACTTGAATTTGTTTCCTTTTAAGTTTACTTGTCGTCCTGTTACTAAGTCAGAGTTTGGTCCACACAATAAGTAATTGGAAAAATCATTCTCAACTACACCAAGTATTGGCTAATATCTTGCAAACCATTCCAAGTATAAAAATGTGTTCTAAACTACACAAACTATTATATAATACATGGTGACATACACATGTTAATTGAAAACATGTTAAAAACTACAAATTAGTTTTTGTTTTATAAATATTTATCAATTTGGGAATTATTTTGTAATTATTTTCATACAAAAATTTATTAATCTCTAAAAGATAATTGAAAACGTAATGTATATAGAGTTCCAAAATTATATATTTTGAAACCATTTAATTTGTTAGATAAAAATAAACACAAGTTTTTAAAATATTGGTCAATAAATATAGTTTAAATTATATTGAATAAATTTTAATAATTTAGAATAAAATACATAAACGACATATATATTACATTTTTTCTTCGGAGAATATTTTTACTTGTGCCGGTACT